ACTCGAAGGAGTTAACTGTGGGAGGCTAGGATAGCTGTGATAAGCGTAGAGGTACTTGAGATGTTAGGGAGACTAGAGGTTGGTAGTTAATGTGTAAGGATGAGTTTGACATGTACGGTACATGTAGAGTTAAACATTTGCATAAACTGCTTCTTGTGATATGTTTCTATTTATTCAAAGCTTGAGAGTTGTGATAAGCATGATATGTTGATTCTTTAATAAGCATGACACGTTGTTCCTTGGTAAGTATGCTGTTTGTGCGTGACCCTTCACATAAGGGCTGCTTACTGAGTACTGTGGTTGTACTCATCCCTCTTTTTCCCCTCCAGTTTGCAGGTATCGAGCTAGCTCTTGGGATGGTGATGGCGAGGAGGAGGCTTGATCAGAAAGACCATTAGCTATGCTGCGTGCAATTAATTTCCTTTAGTTAGGATAGTTGTGGCTATTTAATCTTGTAGTTGAGTTGTTAGTGGTTGGTTTTGTTTAGTTTTATTGTCTAAAGGATGTTGTAAGGTTGCCGATTCATTATTCTTTTAGAGCATTAATTTTGTTAGCTTCTTGAACTACGGGATTGTAACCCACTTAGGATGTTTATGAATACATCTGTTTAGGTTGATCGTACTTGAATTGATTTTTGCTTCATGGTCATTCGAGATGTTAATATTCATTTAGTGGATGGTTTATAGTTAGTAGAGGTTTCCTTGAAGGGTTTGGTTAACGTGAAGTCGGTATTTAATGGTCTATCTTTATAGGATGCGAGTTTCTCTTAAATCTTTAGTGTTGTTCTAATTGTTCAAGCTCTCGTGAGTGTTGAAAACCAGAGTAGCGCAGGAGAAGCGTGGTAGCTTTATTGCTTAGTATTGTTGTGAAGACAATCCTCTTGTTTATGTGAAAATTTTAGGTAGTCTTAGTAACGGTCCCTGTTTGGAAATGGTGAAATTCCTGGGGCGTTACACTAAATGCGATGCTTTTGATCTCATTGGGAGCATAGCTTTTGTCGTGACTTATCTTGTCATGTCAGGCCCGTGACCAAGGAGAACGCAAGTTTCCCGGGGTTCGCGCCGAGAATGCTTCAATCTAACAGTCAAGGATCGTGGTTCGAGCCGATTGAGTTGTCGAATCATTGTAGGGCCCATGGTACCCTAGTCGTAGTGAGTTGTCTCATCTTCATGAGACACAAGAAAGTGCATGTCGATTTTCCCTTTCCTTGCAAGACCCGTGGCAACCTTCCATGCCATTGTCACATCTACAATAGACCCGTGACCTTGAGATTATGGGTTGTTGGGTATCGAGCCGAGAAGTCACGAGGGTGTTGGGTACCGTGCGGAGAAGTCACGAGGGTGTTGGATACCGAGCTGAGCACGTCTCGGTCCATTGGGTAAAGACTTCTGGTGTAACGCCCCAAGAATTTCACCATTTCCAAACAGGGACCGTTACTAAGACTACCTAAAATTTTCACATAAACAAGAGAATTGTCTTCACAACAATACTCTAAGCAATAAAGCTACCACGCTTCTCCTGCGCTACTCTGATTTTCAACACTCACGAGAGCTTGAACAATTAGAACAACAACACTAAAGATTTAAGAGAAACTCACATCCTATACAGATAAACCATTAAATACCGACTTCACATTAACCAAACCCTTCAAGGAAACCTCTACTAATATAAACCATCCACTAAATCGATATTAACATCTCGAATGACAATGAAGCAAAAATTAATTCAAGTACGATCAACTTAAACAAATGTATTCATAAATATTCTAAGTAGGTTACAATCCCATAGTTCAAGAAGCTAACAAAATTAATGCTCTAAAAAGAATAATGAATAGGCAACCTTACAACATCCTTTAGACAATAAAACTAAACAAAACCAACCGCTAACAACTCAACTACAAGATTAAATAGCCACAACTATCCTAACCAAAAGAAATTAATTGCTCGCAGCATAGCTAATGGTCTTTCCGATCACGCCTCCTCCTCGCTATCACCATCCCAAGAGCTAGCTCGATACCTGCAAACTGGAGGGGAAAAAGAGGGATGAGTACAACCACAGTACTCAGTAAGCAGCCCTTATCTGAAGGGTCACGCACAACAGCATACTTATCAAGGAAACAATGTATCATGCTTATCAGGAATCAACATATCATGCTTATCACAACTCTCGAGCTTTGAATAGATAGAAACATATCACAAGAAGCAGTTTATGCAAATGATTAACTATACATGTACCGTACATGTCAAACTCATCCTTACACATTAACACACTAGTTCTATTTCTTAATTCCTCC